ACATTACTGTCAAAGCTCTGAGTAAAGTTGGCTAACTTTGTGGTGACACATCAAAGACACACTTCACTCTTACATCACTGTCAAAGCTCTGAGTAAAGTTGGCTAACTTTGTGGTGACATGTCAAAGACACACTTCACTCTTACATCATTGTCAAACCTCTGAGTAAAGTTGGCTAACTATGTGGTGACACATCACAGACACACTTCACTCTTACATCACTGTCAAAGCTCTGAGTAAAGTTGGCTAACTTTGTGGTGACACATCACAGACACACTTCACTCTTACAATTTTAAAAAGCCTTAGCATAATGTAATAAGTACTGAAGAACCAAATCTAAAAATTTAACACTCAAGACTCTGTGGACTTATGACTCTGTGCCATAATAATATAGGAACCTGGACCAAGACTAAGAATTTAATCTTTGAAATACTCTATGCTTTGATAGTTCATTCGAACATTTAATTTCCTTTTCAAAGTCTTTTCAAATAATCATCCAGCCACTTTTTTTTTAAATTGTGTCCTGAAGTGCAATGATTACCGGTAGCAGCTGGCGTTTTTTTGTCATCACCTTTGTCAGTCAGCTGAGCACAGTCTTCAGTTTCCTTACCACAGGCATCAATGGGTGTATCACTTTCATCAATCTCATTATCACTGTCTCCACTCAGGTTATCACCCTCGTAACTGTTTTCCGTGTGTCTATCACAGACGTCGATGAGTTCCACATCAACATGGCTCCCGGTATCTCTCTTGATCACAGTGCTCTGAGGGGGTGTGAGGTGATCACGGGGAGAGGAGGACGAGCAACAGCTCGGAAAGTCCCGGCTTGTACGCACGTTGGCACGAGGGGATGGTGGGGATGAAGAAGGGGGAGATGACTTAATGACCAGCTTTCCCAAGTGGCCGAGTGACAAACTGTCGGTGGTGGAGCTGTCTGGACTATAAGATGGGTAGTATGTTTTAGAACCTGCTGATTGAGGGAAAGTGTTGTTTACCTCTGAAATGGCCTCTTGTCGCTTATAGCATGGGCTTCCCTGCAGTTTGATATCTAGGTATGGATTGTGGTAATAAGAGCCAGCTGCAGCATACAACAGGCACGGGGCATATCCCTCTACAGCTATTTGAGAATAGCCGCTCGGGGAACATGTCTGTATGCCTTGAATGGCCAGGGGGTGAGGAGAATTTTTACGTGTACCCTCTGCAGCTGGGGAATACCTAAGAGAACTGGGAAGAATTGGGGAATGTGAAACATTTCTTTGCATGCTGGGAAAGGCTTTAAGATGAGAGGAATATCTGTGTGGGCTGGGAGGAACTGGGGAATGACTCAACTCTCTAGATGTGCTGGGTATGGCCGGGGGATGAGAGGCATATCTATGTGTGCTGGGAGGAACTGGGGAATGACTAGACTCTCTAGATGTGCTGGGTAGGGCCAGGTTATGAGAGGCATATCTATGTGTGCTGGGAGGAACTGGGGAATGACTCGATTCTCTAGATGTGCTGGGTATGGCCGGGGGATAATGGGACGCAGTTTGGCCATTGAACTTATGTGAGGGTAAGCTGGGAGGTGAGAGAGCTTGTCTGTGATGGTAGTACTCAGAGGAATGCTTGTCAGGAGAAGGGGACAAGAAGGCTGAGCCCTGGGTATGCCCATCTGCAAAAGAGCCTCTGTAGCCTGGATAGTTGCTGGGCATCCAGTCTGGCTGCTGTGAACCACTGCTGACATCTCTGCTCGAGTGTTGTTGGTATTGAAGGTGTCTCACTGTGGCCTCCAAGGCAGCATTCTTCAACAGCAGAGCCTGCATGGCCGTCTGTGGATCTCGTGTCAGATCCAGTGGTATGGGGTTATTGACGTCAGCAGCATATGACAGCCCTTGACAGCTTTCAACCACTCGTACCTTAGATCTGTTTGGACTGCTGACAACTGGAAAGATCTTGTAAGGACTGGTGGCATGGGATGGCTTATACCTGAGGAGCTCTGGTGACCTGGATACATTAGTGGGATAGCCATTCAGGTAGCCATATCTGCTTGTCTTACCCTGACTGTTGTCACCCAGCCACGGCAGCATGCTTAAATCAGATATCACACTCTCTTCTCCTTTCACATGTGAGCCATTTTCTCTGGTTGTTACAGCAGCTCCGTCCCTATCATCTGATCTGTTGCTAGCAAGGTCATAACCAACAGCATGCGGTAGGCTCCCGGCAGTTCTGCAGTAATCACCTGAAGAATGTGCCGTAACGTCTTGTCTTACAGCACTACTTTCAGTCATGTCTGTTCCTCTATCATTCTGCAGTAACACTAAATCGGATGTGTCCACTTGTATGCTCACCCTACCTACCCCACCCCCAGTGTAGTCAAGAACAGTCTCCTGTTTAATATTGGTTAATACATTTTCCCTGTCTACAACAAGAACATTACTAGAAGGATTTGAGGGCATGTTACATGCTAAATAACTAAAGTCACTAAGGGGCACAGTTTCCAGCATGGCACGTTTCATGTTATCTAAACTAGAATTTGATTCTCTGATATCAGCATGTGAGCCACCCATATTGGAATAACTAGCCTCTCTGTTAACTTCAGGTAAATTAATTTCCCCGCTCATTTCGTGAGAGTTAACATCAGACGAGTTAACTTCTCCGATTGGGTCAACATGGTTGGAATGACCAGCCTCGCGGTCACCTTCAGACGAACTGAATTCCCTGATTAAGTCTTGATAGAAAGGTCTATCAAGATGGTTGGTGGCAGGGGCAGGGGGCTGCGGATTGGACAAGCCGGGGCCCTGCGTTTGTCGGGCCCCGGGCCGGGGGGGGCTGAGAGAAAGTTCTGATTCATCCTGACAGCCTGAACCTAGCATAGCCATCTTCGCAAGAATTTTTGAGCGATACTCACGTATGTTTTCAAAATTGACCAGCCTGCTGTATATTGTGTGGACGGAAGGCACTCTTTCTTGTCCCAGAAACTTGAGGAAGACATGTTGAATTGTCTCCAGGGTTTCAGTGGCTTTGGCTTCATTCAATAATTGGGAATTATCTGAAATTAGGAGGTTGGCAGTTTGTTTTTTAAAAACTGGAAAAAGATGACAAGAGCTTTTTCAAACAAAACTTCACCACTAAAGAAATGGAAAAAGATGACAAGAGCTTTTTCAAACAAAACTTCACCACTAAAGAAATGGAAAAAGATGACAAGAGCTTTTTCAAACAAAACTTCACCACTAAAGAAATGGAAAAAGATGACTAGAGCTTTTTCAAACAAAACTTCACCACTAAAGAAATGGAAAAAGATGACAAGAGCTTTTTCAAACAAAACTTCACCACTAAAGAAATGGAAAAAGATGACTAGAGCTTTTTCAAACAAAACTTCACCACTAAAGAAATGGAAAAAGATGACAAGAGCTTTTTCAAAAAAAACTTCACCACTAAAGAAATGGAAAAAGATGACTAGAGCTTTTTCAAAAAAAACTTCACCACTAAAGAAATGGAAAAAGATGACTAGAGCTTTTACAAACAAAACTTCACCACTAAAGAAATGGAAAAAGATGACTAGAGCTTTTTCAAACAAAACTTCACCACTAAAGAAATGAGGTCATTAAAAAGTATGCACTTTGACAAACCTACTGAAAAGAAGTTCATTTTTAATCAAGAACCCTCAAACGTGCCCGTTTCTATTTATACTTTTCAGGTTGTCTGTACTGTTGTAGGTATACATTTATAAGCTTAAGCTAAATCACTGTGATACTCTGTTCTTTTTACTTATTACAGGGGAAAAAAAACATGATTTACAAATCGCCTTGCAATGTCTTCTTGGTAATGCTGAACTCTTGTGGCTCATACACATGGCAAATATTCTTGAAATTATAAAAAATGAACAATCTGCAGTACTTACCAAGACTTAGGAAACGTATGGCACAGAGACATCCTAAGATGATCCCATCTTGGGTAACAAATCTGGCATACTCCCTGGCAAAATAGAAAATTTCTTTCATGTAGCAGTACTCCTCCAAATCTGATTCACGCAGGCGAAAATTTCGGAAACAGAGCTCATTCTCTTGTAGGTCAAACAACTCTGCCAAACGAAGTCCAACAATATCCAGCAAATGTTTGAAGAACAGTTCACAGATGTCCACCGGACTCAGCTGCACAAGGGAAAGATGAAGCAGACTTTGTAATATGAGGAAAAAAAAATTGTTCAAGCCAAATCTATTAGTCACATAGGACTTTTGATCTTGAAGTATCTCAGCACAAGCAACGACTGGTGCAGGTAAGTCATTGTACAATAAAAATTGATGGTGCAGATAAGTCATTCTACTACAAATGCTTGAAATGAGAAAATGAAGTATTGACAAAATTCGACAACCCAAAATAGATTTAAGATTTACCTTGTTGATTCCAGGAATGCTGCGCACAAACTCAATGACATGTCTCAAACTTGGGCTCATTTGTCCCGGGATGTAAGGAAGTTCCTGTTCTCTAAGTTCCTAGAATTAAACATTTACAAGACTGGCATTAACTTCTGAAGATAGCACTCTTAAATGTTTTCTCATGCAAAGCGCAGGAAATTATTTTATTGAAATAAACATTTAAAGATCAAGGATGGTCTAATGATGTATAATGATTCTGAGAGGACTTTTCTTACATTTAAAATTAGATGGTGGTAAAAGAAACACATAGTGTATTGCAACATTAGACAGTCACCTTTTTATTCATAAACTTGTAGAAATCTGACACCTGGATTGCCTTGTAACTCTCGCCGATGCCTTTGAGAAAATTCCATTCATCTGTGGTCAGAGCCTGGCACACTCTTTTTTTTCTCTCCTTTCTGTTTGTGTCAATCAACTGCTTTAAATTCTTCCTTTCCTTTTCATTCAAGACGGCTAAAAATAATATTTAAAAATTGATTTACTATCATTCAAAAAGAGCCATATGTAAATGTGTTAATAATTAAAATATGATATTCATGAATCAACTAAAATCAACCATCCCATCAACACATAAACATGAAATTATTTTAAAGTAAATTCTTACAGTTTGGATCCATCTTCATAGCTAAACATCTTTTATAGCGACAATACTGGCAAGCATTTCTGGTCTGAGGAGAAATTTCACATGACCCTTCTTTCTTGCAAGTCAAATCGGGCTCAGCACCTTTGCTCTTTTGAATTGTCCTTCGAAAAAAACCCTTAGAAACAGAAATAAAATTTTGATGAACTTACTTATATATGATCTTGTTTTTCTCTAAAATGAAACATTACCAATTATCCCAATTATCCATCCCAAAAAGTGTAGCACAGACCTGTTTACCCCCAAACTCCTAAAATCGTACAATATCGTCTCAAAATCGTACAATGCAGTATTTTGATAGTAAATAAATAAAAATACAGTATATATAATGTATACAATAACTACTCCTATAACATGTTCAGTGGAATCGAGTTAAGCTGGCGTCAAAATATAGAACTGAAGGTTAGCGGTAGATTACTGACGTTAACGGCAAACGGCGGTCACTTTGTTTTGCAGACGTGTATCGGCTAGTACAATATATTAATTAATATTTGGGTTAACGTGCTGATCACATTATCCCAGTCTGTCACAGGTAAAAATGAAGTCACCGGTGAAGTTTAACGTTGTTCAAACTTGACGTCAGGTGGGCATAAAATAAAATGTATTAAAATAAGAATTAATTACCCGGTAACGAATTGGGACCCCCACCCCCACACCTTTTTGTGTGTATGGTACAGTGAGCTTTAAAACACCAGCCCAGCCCCCCCCCCCCAAACTTAACAAAATCCATTGTATATTATGATGTTACAGTCAACAAAATGTGACACGGGTTTTCACTACTGGTGATTCAGCCCAATGGTTCCCAGAATAAACGCCACAACGCCCTGGGTGCTCGTTGCCCTCGGGCAAGGGGGTGACTGCGGCTTCCTCATCGGGGCGTTGCGAAATATTTTTAAAAATTCATTATTTTATTTTCACTTTTAAACCAATGTGACAACTTTCGGTGGTAACAGTAACTCACTAAGAAATTGCTGTTTGCAGTTCCAGATGGCGCTCAGTGACCTACATACACGTTATATTTATTTTTATCCAACCCTTATTTTATTTTTGTATTCGCTATTTCGAATTGTACATGTTAGAATTCGACACAGGGAGCCTGGTGAAAACGTAGTGTGGCAAAGGCGCAGGGAAACGAAAATTTTAGAACCACTGGCGTAGCCCACCGAATTATATGTAGCACGTGGCCTTACCATTCGGTGGACTAAAGATTACTGTAATTTCTCTACTACTGAGTTTAGAAATAGCCAGCGAGATCATTTGTGAAAATACATCTTGACAACATCACGACGGTAATTCATGCAAACATTGTCTGGTATTTTACAGCATTCGAGCTATAACTGTGCTATTTTAGGACTTTCAAGAGTTTCGGGATGAATAGTGTAGTATTTTTAAATACAGCATGTACTTTCTGCCGAGGAATATCCCCCCCCCCATCCACCCTCCCTGACATTACGAAAATGTAGGTGGCGGAGTTGATTGTATAGATTTAAACATTTAGACCCGCACCATACACACTATCTCCTAAATCCACACCACTCATTTTGCCTCTGATTGCTACTAACTAACTAACACACATATTCTGGCGAGGGTCTGAGATTACTCTCTTATGACCCCGGCTAGTAAATTGGCTATCAACTCCATCTGTTGAGCTGAGCCATACAACATTTCCCTCACAAAGGATCCTCCAACCGCCCTGGCTTCCCCCTTGTCAACGTAAAACAAAGGACCATCTAACTATTACGTATTATATACGCACTGAGGATGCTATGACAGATTTGATGAGGGGTCAATAGAGTGCACCTACATTTAAGCATACAATAATTATCCTGACAGTCTCTTATAGAGCCAACTGTCATCTGAAAATCTGTGAAATCCGTGAATTCTAATAAGGCCTTTTATTATTATTATTATTAAGGCTATAAGAAATATTACAATATTTCGCAGTAAGCATATAGGCCTACTCATAAAAGCTACTAATGCTTTGTGTTTTCATAAAGAGATCCCAGTAGTTGTAAAATTGAACATGACATAGTGATAACACACTGTAGTGCAGTAATTCGTCTTTCCGTGCTAGTGACGTAATTATTTCCACCGGGCAGACCCCCCCCCCACACACTGAATATAGGGGAAAAACATTGAGCTGTCTGATTTTTTCCGTTTAAAAAAAAGGGGGTGGGGCAGTATTAGTAGTGATACCAAACTGTCGTATTACGATCGCTGAGGGTGAAGAGCTGCTTTGCGAGTTCTACCAATATTTTTGTAATGCCGCTGACTGGCTCTAATCAAATATGTCCACGTCCAACATTCCAGTGCAGTAACAGTGGGATCAAGTATTTGATTGTAAAAACCGTCTCGTCTCTAGTTTTCTCCGTTTTCACCATCGCCGCGGTTCAAGGGAACAAAACTACGTCACACGCTGGGTAGCAGTCAAAGGGGATGGCAGTGAATAGTATAAATATTACCGGTGACGCAGCTAACTAG